TACCCAAAATGGGGTGGGAGGTTACAAAGGCAAGAAGTGACTGGCTTACAAGCTTTCAAGAGGGAGTCTAGATCCAGAGGGTGCAGAGAAAGGTAGAATCTCCACTGAGTAGTATCCAATCTGTGTGGGTGAGGTTGATGAAAGGAGATGGGGATAGGTCTCTTGTGATACAATGGTGAATAATTGTTATCAGGACTGACTGTGAGGGTTGGAAATATAAAGGCAGACATTTTATAGCAAAAGAAGGGGAGTGATTGACTTTGCAGTCTAGGAGCAGATATCCCTGGAACCATCAGAGGAGAAGAGTGGAGAGTGAGAGCCTACCCAGAGAAGCAGTGACGCCAAAGATGGAGGCAGAGATGATGATGTGGGGAGATTGAGCGGCTGGGGACTTTAGACCCAGAGAGGGAGAGGGGCTGTGTGCTGATGACAGGGGGGCAGGCTTGCAGGGTATACCCTTTGGTTGGTTGATGACGCATGGAGGGGATTGTCACCATGGCAATGAAACAATAGGATGAATGGAAAGCTAATGTTCTCCCATGTAAACTATCACATAATTTACAATAAAACATTTTTTTTTAAAAAGAAAGAAAATGGAAGAAATACACAGTCACTGTACCAAAAAGAAATGGTTGATGTTCAACCAATTCAAGAGATAGAATATTATCAAGAGCCTATGAAACTGAGGAAGAAGTACAAAGAGCACTGAAGACAATGGCAAAGAACAAGGATCTGGCAATTGATGGAATACAAATTGAAATCTTTCAACAAACTGATGCAGTGCTGGAGGCACTCACTCATCTGTGCCAAGAAATGTGGAAGACAGTTACCTAGCCAACTGATTGGAAGAGATCCAAATTTGTGCCCCTTCCAAAGAGAGGCAACTCAGTGGAATGTGGAAGTCATAGAACAATATCATTAATTTCACATACAAGTAAAATTCTGCTTAATTCAAAAACGGATGCAACAGTACATTGACAAGGAACTGCCAGAAACTCAAGTCAGTTTAGAAGAAGATGTGGAATGAGAGATATCATTGCTGTTACATGGACCTTGACTGAAAACAGAATACCATAAAGATGTTTAGCTATGTTTTATTGACTATGTAAGGAGCTCTGGTAGCGTAGTGGTTACGAATCGGGCTGCGAACCTTAAGGTCAGTGGTTCAAAACTACCAGCCGCTCCGCGGGAGATAGATGAGGCTTTCTAGTCCCGTAAAGATTTACACCCTCGGAAACCCTGTACAGGGTCGCTATGGGTCGGAACCGACTCGATGGCACTTAACAACAACAAATGCATTGAACCGTGTGGATCATAACAAATTATGGATAACATTTAGAAAATGAAAAATTCCAAAACACTTAATCATGCTCATGTTGGACCTGTATATAGATCAAGAGACAGTCATTTGAACAGCACAAGAGGATCCTGTGTGCTTTAAAATCCGAAAAGGCATTCCTTCTGGTTGTATCTTTCACCATACTTATTTAATCTATCTGCTGACTGTGTGGATACTCCCCATATAATGTTAAATACCCATTATTTTAAAGTAATGATTATGAGTTTTCAGGTTATAAATTCTTAAATGTAAATATCACCAATGAAATGAATAATTTGTTAAAACAACAACAACAACAACTAGTCAATGTTTTAATAGTAACACTGAAAACAAAAGATATTCTTTTGTTGAAAATTTCTAATGCTGAAAATTTAAGGAAATAATACTATTTGGGATGATAACAAAAAGCTAAATTGATACAAGTTTTTATACATTAATCGATTCCACAATCCATGACCCAAGTCTAAGAAAAAAGGAAGATACTTATAAAGCAGTCTACAAATGAACAAAAAATTATAACAAGACTATGCAACTCATCAAGAAAAGCAGTTACAATATATGCACATTTGCTCAGTGATTCTATGATATGTATATAATATGTGTCAATGATTTGAAGACCTTTCAACCAGAGTTTCCCTCTGCCCTGGCAGATGGTGGGTTGTTACAAAAATGAGTCTGTGAAGCCACTGTCCTACATTCTCATTAGACAACATAGTTTCCCTCTCACAAAACCAACTCACTAGGCAGGAACCATATGATGTGCCACAAGCTCTGTAATTAGTGATACTAGCGCATTTAGAAAAAAAATGTACACATGATTTAGCTCAAGGCTGAGATCCATATTTTGACAAGGTTGCACTCTGCACACAAATTTGCTGAAAAGACATTGTTTAAGGGACTGGTAAATTCATGCTCCAGGGTTGAAAGATTCTGTCAGTGGTTTCTTCTAATCCTGGAATGATGGCAGCTACAGCCATCACTGGGGAGGTTAAAGATACTTTGATGAAATCCAAAACAGATTACAGGGTAGGCAGGGTAGTGTTTTATTTCATTTTAATTAAATTTACTGCATAGATATGTTCTATAAGGGCAAGATTTAACATTGAGAACTTGTAAAGGCAGAGTAGAAATTCGTCATTACTATCATCCATCATCAGCTGAGGAGGGCTTCGTAAAAAATCACAACCTTGGAAACGCTATGGGGCAGTTCTTTTCGTCTTATGGGGTCGCTATGACTGAGGTGTAGCGCTGTGGGATGATAATGTACTGGACCACAACGTTGGTTTGAACCTCAAAGTCGCTTTCAAACTCACCAGCTGCTCCTCGGAAACCCTATACAGGGCGCTATGAGTCGGAACCGACTCGAAGGTACTTAACAACAACATGACTGAGTGGTGATGGATCTGTGGGCAATGGTTTGATTTAATAAGCGATTCATATACTGTGGCGCTGTGGAATAAACACTGGAATGAAAGATCTGCCGTTTAAACCCACCAGCTGCTCCTTGGAAACCCTACACAGGGCCGCTATGAGTCAGAACTGAATGGACAGCACTTAACTACAACAATAC